TATTATTAAGGCATTTTAGAATTGTTATTTTGACCATGCATCTTTTTGTACTTTTTTATCCAAAATTCCTAAACAAAAAGTTAGATTCATATAAGATACTTTTAGTGAATTTAGTATTCTTTCAAGATTTTAAGAAGTTGAGTGTACAGATAGTTTGGTCAAACAAGATTGAACAATCGGGATTTGCAGGTGCTCAGATCAATAAATTATTCATTTCTCATTTTCATATTTTATTATTACATCAAGAGATATTTTTTATGTATCCTTAATTTTCCAAGAATTTCTAAAGTATATTTCTCCAAAGAATCTTGAAGCAATTTGGTCAACAGGGGCATTCTCTGTTATTTCTCAGTACTGGGCTCCTGAACATTCACAAGTGACTACTGCACAGAGAAAGTGAACAGTAAGTGCACTGTGTAGAATGTATTAGCTCTCTATACCCGTTGTCCTCGAGTGGATTCCAACTCATAGTGACCCTATAGGACAGGGAGAACTGCCCTTAGGGTTTCCAAGGCTGTACTCTTTACAGAAGCAGATTGCCACATCTTTCTCCTGTGGAGCAGCTGGTAGGTTCAAACTACTGACCTTTCAGTTAGCAGCCAAGCACTTAACCACTGTACCACCAGGGCTCCTTGAGCTCTCTACAAAAACCAAACCAAACTCATTGCCATCGAGTTGATTCCGACTCATAGCAACCCTATAGGACAGAACAGAACTGCTCCAGAGGGTTTCCAAGGAGTGGCTGGTGGATTTGAACTGCCGACCTTTTGGTTAGTAGCTGTAGCACGCCATAGCAACCACTGCACCACCAGGACTAAGTCTGTCTTTGCCCTATCTCTTAGCCTCGGTTTTAGCTTTAAGTTCTCAATGAAGCTCTGATTTACTATCTCCTCTTCAACCATCACAACCCACCCTCACTCCCAAGCTCCCAGTCCTAGGATTTGGAACCCATATTTTTAACAAGCACCACTAAGCTGAACTTCTGGGAGTAAGCAATCGTGGTTCCCTTCAGCGCTTAGCAGGGACCCAAGAATATTACAGGAGTTCATAGATGAAATAAAGGAAAGAGGGAGGGAGGAGAGGAAACAGAGGAAGATTCATGAATCTTAGTTTTATTAAGGGAAGTTGCTCAGTGTACTGAATGTTAAGAAGTCAAATCAAGATGGAGAATCCAAAATATAATAAAAAAGTTGTCAATGTATTCCACTATGGGTGAAATTTAAAATGCTATACTAATGAATCTTCTCAGTAGGTAGTACATTAATTTTAATACTTAAACGAGTGGGGAAGCACATAGTTTACTAGGACCTACATCACAAATTCATTGCCAGAGTTTGTAGAGGAATATTGTGTCTTTCTTAGTTCTGAATAATTTTCAAACCATTTTTTCTTTCTTTTTAAAAAATCTATTTCAAACAAGCAATCAAATCCATAATAAGACAAATATATCTAAGGCCAAAAAGCGATAGAGCTAATGTCTCACTTGAAGAGGGGTCCTCTCTGCACTTCATAGTGATATTCTCAGTAGCATTTAATACATGCGTTGTAGGTACTAGTCGGGTAGTTAGGGAACGCTTTGGATGAGGATTGTCCTTGTTATCTTTTGAAGCAAATTAAGAAAATAAAATGTCAATATTAGTAAAAGAAATGTTTCAGTTGGTATTTCACTTTGCAAACATTATATGATGGGCGCACTCATTTCTAAATAGATATATATATGTATTTATCCTTAGCATGCATCATTAAAATTCCCTAATTGCTGCACTGGTCCTCAAATACTGTCACTAACAAAATGCTAAAAATCCATAACACACGCCCATATATGCAATGTGTAAATGATATAATTATGACAATATTTTTAATAATGCCACACAAAAGAAAACGACAACCAATTTTACACCAAATTTGCCAGTTGTGCAATTGTGCAAATTAGTGTTCCAAAAATATTTTAAATGTGACAACTTCCGCTTGTTTTAAGCTTAGGGGCAGGGCTGTCCAATAGAGCTTTCTGCAGTGATGGAAATATTCTAAACCTGTGCTGTCCAATATGATAGCCATTAGTCACACGTGGCTATTGCATTTAAAATGCAGTTAGTGCAACTGAGGAACTAAATTTTTCATTTTATTGAATTTTAATTGACTTAAATTTAAACACATTGCTGGTGGTTATTGGTTAGTATTTAGATGGAGAGTATGTGCAGCCTCCCAATCACATTTTAGTTAGTCTGTGGCTGTTAGTCTGTTAGTCTGTGGCTGAGAGGTACCCGGCAGAATGGGACTGGGGGACTCTTAAGCACAGTAAGGGCAGGTAAAACTATAAAGGACATATTTTATCATACCTCTTGGCTATTTACAGATTATAGCTAGCAATAACTACAAAATGAGGAAGTCATTGTCCAAAGATTAATACTCTTAGCAGTGTTTGCAAACAAAGCTTTCTAACACAATTCAGTTATACTGAGTATTTTAATTTGAAAAAAAACCTAAAAAGGACTTGGTATTATGATTAAAAGAACCAATAACTTTAGAGCTAGAAAGATTCTTTGAGACTATGTAGTACAACAAGGTAATTTTTCAGATAAAGAAAAATAAGGCTAAGA